GAAGAAATGGCTGTTGAATAGAAAAATTCATTCACATATAAATCTACTGAAGAATTTAAAAGATTATTCAAACGGCTGGCGACATTATTGACAGACGGATGAAAATGCCTATAGTGAATTATTGCGCTTGGTTACGCCTCTCATTTAACGTGAAAATACGGTTATGCGTGGGAGTATATCACCTCACGAAATGCTGAGCGCTACTTTAAGGTTCCTGGCTACTGGAAGATCATACCAAGATTTGAGATTTTCTATAGCAGTTTCTGAACAAGCTTTATCTAAAATCATTCCTGATACATGCCGAGCCATTTACAAGGTTTCTAGCCTCGACTGTGACTTAAACGCTGAACACCCAACCACACGCACAGGCAAGTGCGCGCAGGCCAGGCTTGCGCAGGCAGAATTTCAAACAAATCAAAGCTCGCGCAAGCCACGCTGCGAGGTGTTAAGTGCCCACCACCTCAAACTTTCTAATCAAGATAAAGCAGCTCTGTTCGATATTTCCCTGATCATCGTGACAACATACGTGAAACCGTGATTGCTCTTTAACGGTAACCACGATTTGTGCTTTTTAAACGCAATGAAAGCTTACAAAAGAATTGACAAAACCATTTCAAAAGTGCTGCCAACATTTTATGGTATTTGGCAGATGAGGTCTCTGTCTCATCTCTGTTTGACGAAGACGTAGATGAGGAAACTGAAGTAAAAATTGTTGCTAATTTAGCCAAAGAAAGTCCATCAGCCCACGGTAAGCACTACATCCCATCGAAAAAAGAACTTCCTAGACCGCTTTATGGTAAGTCTGACTAATAAATTTTCCTTTGTCTTCTTTTACTGCTTCAATATAATATGCTCACTGTTAAAATGAGCCAGCATAAACTGCGATTCTGGCAATAGATGGCACCTTATACTATCTTGGTTCGACAGATCTTATACCTCAGACAGAGGTTAGTTGCTATGGTTTTGTTCGCTGTCCTGACCTGAGGTCAAGCCTAGATGATGCTGATGAGTTGCCAAAAAGCACAAAACATCTGTCCACGGTTGACTGTCTGTGGTCGAACGGACAACACCAACGTGTTTAGAAGATAGCTGTTCCACGTTTTTTCATTTCAGAGAAAAATATCAATGACTTTGATTCAATCTAAAGCAAGTCCTTGTTCAATCGACTCGAAATTGATGGCAGTTTTCTCGACGAGTGTGGCCACATAATGATTCTTTTCAACACGCTAAGAATAAGGTGCAGACACTGAAAGCAGTTAACAATAGCAGAAAGCAGCAACAAAACAATTTTTATTATGTTGTGTACAAGAACACAAGCAGGTATATCCTAACTTTAAAAAGAAAACTTTGAAAAGAAAATTTAGTAAATAATGTTGTTATAACGATAAATATCTGAGAAACAGAAAATAAAAATAAACCAGTGATTCATTTGTCAAATAAGAATGCATACTTCCCTATTTATAAATTTTTTTGAGTTGTTGAGGCCAAATGGAAAAAAATTAGGGATAATAAAGAGTTTTAACACTTATTACCTAAGTATAATCACCTGCTAGTAAACCTTGAAACTGCTGGTACAGCTTTTGAGTTAATAAAGAAAATTACGTCATTGGATGCAGTTTATTTGGTAAAAACTGCTTGAGACCAAGTACCCAAAGAAACAGTACAAAATTGCTTCTGCAAAGCAAGATTTAAGCATGAAAATATGCAAAGTGAAAGCTAATTAAATGAAAATGATAGATCTGACCCAGAAGACGACTTACCACTTAATGTATTTTCAGATATCCTCAACACTCAGAATTTATTTAAATTGACTGATAATGAAAACTTCTATGATTTTTTGAACCTAGATGAAAGTTTGTATGTTGATTCAGGCAAATTGAAAATCCAGTTCAGATACAATCCAATGATTCTGATGTCAATGAGGTCCCAGTACCAACAGAAGCTATTCCGAATTATGGTAAAGCTATTAGGTACCCTAACCAAGCAGCTCAAAAGTGTTGTCAGAAATCGGAAAGATAAAGAGTCTCTGGAGCTTCTTTCTACGATTTCAAGGCGCCGTTTTAAAGAAAAAGAGGAGGCAAATGACAATATATGAGTTTTTGCATTTTAACTTTCTATTTCATTTTTTTGTTACTAGATATAATATGCATGTATAGTTTATCTGAAGTCACTTGAAACACTGTAAAATACCGGGTGCGTTTTATATATCTACGTATATATTTAACACGCTCTGTTGCTGCAAAAATCGCCAAATTTCGCAGCAAATATCCCCCGTATAAGATCAAAGGCAGTTTCACCGGTCCACGTGGAGTAAAGCACGCCTATGCGTGGACATAGCCAATGAGAAAGCGTGTATTTCAGAGCTCCGAAAAAGTGCAGGTGGCTACTGAAAATTGAAACAGTTTAGCCAGTGCCGTCAATAAACGTGTTTTCTTTAGTCTGTCCGTGTTTTTTCATAGATTTTATTAGTTTGTGTGTTTTTGACTTTTGAATACTCAGTTTACTTGTTGATTTAATTGTTGTGTTGATTGTTCTCGTGTGTCCTAAATATGGCTCTTTGGAGACCTTGGGAAAATGCTCCAAGCCACGAGGAGATGGTTGATGAACCTTTGCAGGCAGAATTCTTTCATAAAGATTTAGAGGAACAGACCCAAAGAGTAATCCTAAATATGTATGATTGTTTGAAAAACGAAAATCCAGATTCCTCGCAAAATCAAATTTTAAACAGAATTTGTATCCTGACAAAAATCAGTCGGTCTACCATTTATCGGGTTATAAAAAGGGGAGATGTAGTCAACCATTCCTTCCACAGAAAGCGCATAGGGCAAAAATTAAAAAGAATAGACGTGGGTTTTCAGGAAGATATTCGTCGTATAATATACGGATTTTATAAAGAAAATTTGGTGCCCACGTTGGAAATGATACGGGATAAATTAAAAGATTATCCTGAAGATTTTTATAATTACAAATGCTTAGACTCACTGCACTGTATTGTAAAACTGTGTGATTTTCAATACAAAAAATTAGATAAAAGAATGGTGATTATGGAGTCGTCTCGAATCGTTGAATTGCGCCAAGAATTTTTGCACAAAGTTAAAATCTATAGAGAGCAGAAAAGAAATCTGATTTACCTGGATGAAACGTGGTATGATACCCATGATGTTATGCAGTACGGCTGGGTTGACGACAGCAACAAGTGCATTTTAAATGCACCATGCAACCATGGAAAACGAATCATTATTCTCCATGCTGGCAGTGAAAATGGATTTATACCTAATGCCTTGCTGTTATCTGCCAAAAATATCAAAGAATCATGTGCCGACTATTTGAAAAGTGGATAGAGCAGCAGTTAATACCAAACATTTCCCCAAATTCAGTCATTATTATGGACAATGCGCCATACCATTCCCGACAGAAAAACAAAATTCCAAATACAGGCACAAAAAAACAAGACATTATTGATTTTATGAAGGATAAGGGAATGGAAATACCACAAAAATCAACCAAAGCCACATTATTGGATCTTATTAAAAGACAAAAATTTGAAAAAGAGTATGTTGTTGACAATCTGCTTCAGCAAAATGGCCATGAAGTATTACGTCTACCTCCCTGTTACTGCATTTTTAACCCGATTGAGTTGGTCTGGGCTGCTTTAAAAAAAAAGTAAGAAAACATAATCAGACACCTCGATTAAGTGAATCGCCATTGGCCACAATAAGAGATGCAGTATCTCGTATTGCTGCCACAGACCTATGGAAGCAGTGTTCTAGGCATATTATTGAAAAAGAAAATGAATATTGTGTTTTGCCTCCTGTAAATCCCGTTGTAATTCCTCTACAAGATGACTCTAGTGACAGCTCTGAAGGCGAGGATGATATATAAATACCTATAATGTAAGCCTTTATATACCTTTTTATATACCTACCTGCTATGTAAATATTTGCCTATGTCAAATGTTGGGATTCTGTAATTTTTCCATTTCTTAACTTTCAGTCAACATAAATTAAACTCCCAATATAAGTATTTTTTATCCCAAATCAAAAAAATAAGAAGATAGTAAAATCCATTTATTGTGATATAAAAACATTATTATTATCGTTCTAAATAAATGACCGCACGCCTATGAAATTACAAAGGACGCGCCGACCAAAGGTTTTTATGCTATTTCAAGTGACTTCAGATAAAGTATACATACATATTATATTATACATATGTATGTATATCTTTTGTATATAAGGCTTACTAACCTTATTTTCCTAAGTTTAAAGTTTTTGTTTATTTTGAAAACACTTATATGCATATACATTTTGAATGTCCTAGCTTTTTAAAAATTCAGTTTTTAAAGAAGCATGATTTTTGTTGTACATTTATTTTATATGAACACCCTGCTAGAATGGTCCCATTGGTGTCCATTCAAATGAGATTTCGCTGTATGCAATAATACCATTGAAAAAACATATCCCTTTTTCGAATTTTCTTGCGATTTCAATACTTCTTCAACCAGTTGCATGCAGGAAATAAAAAAGGAGACAACATTAATTCCCTTAGCGATAAAATACCTTCATGAAAAAAAATAAAAATGATTTCTGACACTATTTTTCCAAATAAAAAATGATGCAAAGTATTCTTTTGGTTGCAAGGCTAGGGTTGCCATCTCCTAAGACAGAAAAGCCGCGCTTGGCACTGTATTTGCTCAGACATTTGGCCCTCAAAGCCAGACATTAATTTCATTATTAGCAATGGCAGATTCAGATCTTGTGCCAGGAGGAGGCTCAAAATCCATGTTCTACAAGATGTTCATTGGGGAGAGGGGGGCTTGTGACTTGGTGCTCATTCTTAGTTTGTACATTTACAATTCAGGAGTATACAGTGTTTGATGTACTTTGCAAATAGAAATGAAACCATGCTAACAATTCACATCACTTTTCTTTTCTTGTAAATAAGAATAAGAAAGACCTATTTGTCTATTTTCACACATCAAATTTGGAAGTCATCCTTACCAATACTTGAGCAGTGCTGTAACTTGTAGTGGATTCGGTTGATCTGGGTAAATTTTTCTGCACAATGAATACAAACTTTCTAGGCCGGCAGGAGTTGGTGGGAGCAAATTTACCGCATGATTGTGGGGTAGACTTCCAGCTTCATCCATGTCTTCTAAAATACTAATCCAGCTCTTGTACTTGTAAAAAAGAATGGATTACTATGGAGTGACTCAGTGAATGTTTAAGTCCTCGATGGTATTGCGGCCTACTTGTTCGAAAAATAGACTCTTTATTTTAAGTCCCACTGGTTCAATACACTCACATAAACCACAATTCTTTGTTAAAGATAAAAATAGTAAACAGAAACAGTCACGTACGTATGCAACCCATAGCACAAACCCATATGACGTTAAACGTCAACGAAGTGTCATGATGTCTTCATGCACGACTGTACGTGCGAATAGGGATGGGTATACTTTATCTGAAGTCACTTGAAATAGCATAAAAACCTTTGGTCGGCGCGTCCTTTGTAATTTCATGACGTATCATAGGCGTGCGGTTATTTATTTAGAACGATAATAATAATGTTTTTATATCACAATAAATGGATTTTACTATCTTCTTATTTTTTTGATTTGGGATAAAAAATACTTATATTGGGAGTTTAATTTATGTTGACTGAAAGTTAAGAAATGGAAAAATTACAGAATCCCAACATTTGACATAGGCAAATATTTACATAGCAGGTAGGTATATAAAAAGGTATATAAAGGCTTACATTATAGGTATTTATATATCATCCTCGCCTTCAGAGCTGTCACTAGAGTCATCTTGTAGAGGAATTGCAACGGGATTTACAGGAGGCAAAACACAATATTCATTTTCTTTTTCAATAATATGACTAGAACACTGCTTCCATAGGTCTGTGGCAGCAATATGAGATACTGCATCTCTTATTGTGGCCAATAGCGATTCACTTAATTGAGGGGTCTGATTATGTTTTCTTACTTTTTTTTAAAGCAGCCCAGACCAACTCAATCGAGTTAAATACGCAGTAATAGGGAGGTAGACGTAATACTTCATGGCCATTTTGCTGAAGCAGATTGTCAACAACATACTCTTTTTCAAATTTTTGTCTTTTAATAAGATCCAATAATATGGCTTTGGTTTGTTTTTTGTGCTATTTCCATTCCCTTATCCTTCATAAAATCAATAATGTCTTGTTTTTTTGTGCCTGTATTCGGAATTTTGTTTTTCTGTCGGAAATGGTATGGCGCATTGTCCATAATAATCACTGAATTTGGGGAAATGTTTGGTATTAACTGCTGCTCTATCCACTTTTCAAATAAGTCGGAGGTCATGTCCTCATGATAGTCGGCACATGATTCTTTGATATTTTTGGCAGATAACAGCAAGGCATTAGGTATAAATCCATTTTCACTGCCAGCATGGAGAATAATAATTCGTTTTCCACCGTTGCATGGTGCATTTAAAATGCACTTGTTGCTGTCGTCAACCCAGCCGTACTGCACAACATCATGGGTATCATACCACGTTTCATCCAGGTAAATCAGATTTCTTTTCTGCTCTCTATAGATTTTAACTTTGTGCAAAAATTCTTGGCTCAATTCAACGATTCGAGACGACTCCATAATCACCATTCTTTTATCTAATTTTTTGTATTGAAAACCACACAGTTTTACAATACAGTGCAGTGAGTCTAAGCATTTGTAATTATAAAAATCTTCAGGACAATCTTTTAATTTATCCCGTATCATTTCCAACGTGGGCACCAAATTTTCTTTATAAAATCCGTATATTATACGACGAATATTTTCCTGAAAACCCACGTCTATTCTTTTTAATTTTTGCCCTATGCGCTTTCTGTGGAAGGAATGGTTGACTACATCTCCCCTTTTTATAACCCGATAAATGGTAGACCGACTGATTTTTGTCAGGATACAAATTCTGTTTAAAATTTGATTTTGCGAGGAATCTGGATTTTCGTTTTTCAGACAATCATACATATTTAGGATTACTCTTTGGGTCTGTTCCTCTAAATCTTTATGAAAGAATTCTGCCTGCACAGGTTCATCAACCATCTCCTCGTGGCTTGGAGCATTTTCCCAAGGTCTCCAAAGAGCCATATTTAGGACACACACGAACAATCAACACAACAATTAAATCAACAAGTAAACTGAGTATTCAAACGTCAAAAACACACAAACTAATAAAATCTATGAAAAAACACGGACAGACTAAAGAAAACACGTTTATTCACCGCTACACGGCACTGGCTAAACTGTTTCAATTTTCAGTAGCCACCTGCACTTGTTCGGAGCTCTGAAATACACGCTTTCTCATTGGTTATGTCCACGCATAGGCGTGTTTTTCTCCACGTGGACCGGTGAAACTGCCTTTGATCTTATACGGGGGATATTTGCTGCGAAATTTGGCGACTTTTGCAGCAACAGAGCGTGTTAAATATAGATATATAAAACGCACCCGGTATTTCACAGTGTTTCAAGTGACTTCAGATAAACTATACTTAAATACACTCACATAAACCACAATTCTTTGTTGAAGATAAAAATAGTAAACAGAAACAGTCACGTACGTATGCAACCCATAGCACAAACCCATATGACGTTAAACGTCAACGAAGTGTCATGATGTCTTCATGCACGACTGTACGTGCGAATAGGGATGGGTACTTAAATAGATATGTATCGCACTACTCGAATACAAAATGACAGATATAGAAAGTGTTAATTTAATTTATTTTCAGCTTCACGCAACGTTGATTTACAATTTTTTCGGTCCAAGAGAAGCATCCCTTTGCTAAGCACGGAGGGTGGTATTTGCAATTTCCGAGCATATGTGATTTTTAATACCCAGCAAAACAGTGGCATTTTCTATAGGTACTCATTGAAAGAGATTTTTTTAGACAAATACAATAATTTTGGGTCGATATTTTTGTTTGAAATACAAATGTAATGTTTTCCTATACAAGGTGACTCACAAGTCGTGACCAAAATGAAACATCATACACAGGACCGCATTTTAAGGGGAGTCATATGTAACATTTTTTCCTCGAGGACTTCATTAAAACAACTTTTTTTTAAAACCGTTAACTAAAATTTGGTATGTGGATTTACCTAAGTATTGTCCACATTCAAAAGCCTTTATTCAAAATTCTTGGGAGTTGTGTGTTATGCGGTTGTTATCGTTACTACTACATTTTTTTGTTTGTAAAAGTCAAGCCAGACGTTTCTTTTTTCATTTTGAGTGTTGTGAAATGGAATTTAGCAATGACGAGTACGCCGATATTATTTTTGTGTACGGGTTCTGTAATGGAAATGCTTTATCGGCTTCTCAGGAGTATCAACGTAGATTTTCTAACAGACGCCAACCTACCCCAAATGTTTTTACGCGTTCATTTCTAAGACTTCGGCAAAATGGAATTGCCAAACTTCCCGGAGTTAGAGGCCATGGTGCCCGGCATACTGTTCAAGAGGAACTGGAAGTAATTAATTTGGCGTTGGATGATCCTAGTACAAGTACTAGCCGGATTACAGCCCAGTTACCATGTTCCCAAAGAATGGAGAATTTTAAATCGGGAAGTTACCAACGGCAAAATGTGCAATGTCTGCAACCCGGCGACGAAGTGCAACGGCAAATTTATTGTAAGTGGTTACTGTAAATGCTTAATCAAAATGCAGATTTTATTCATTTGGTTTTGTAGTCAGATGAATCGCTTTTTACGAGGAATGGAACCTCTAATTCTCATAATAATTTGGACGTTAGAAAATCCCCATTCTGTAAGAATCCATTCGTTTCAACAAACATTTCCTAGAAATGCCTGGTGCGGCATTTTCAATGGCCAATTCTTTATTCACGTATTGCCACAACGTTTAAATGCAAACTGATAATTAGCTTTTCTACAGAATTACATAGGAAATGTGTTAGATGATGTTCCATTAGCAACGAGAGTTCGTAAGTGGTATCAGCAAGACGGTGCCCCACCGCATGTTCGTCGTGACATAACCGCATGGTTAAATAATCATTTTAGACAACGATGCATTGGCCGAGACGGACCCGTACATTGGCCTGCGAGGTCTCCTGATTTGAACCACCTGGACTTTTTTTTGTGAGGCGCTTTTAAACAACCAGAGTCTGTTGAATACATTTATACCGTTGATCAATTACAAGAAAGAATAAATAATGCGTTTCATCAAATTCAAGCCACAACAAATTTTGAGGAAATACGTTTTTCTGTATTAAAAAGATGCCGCACTTGTGTCCGACAGAATATTGGTCTTTTTGAACATTTATTGAAATAAAGCTTTGTTTATATATGTTTTTTATTTACTTTCACGAAAACAATGCACTCTAGGAAAAACACAAGAGTAATTATTTGTAGCAAATTGAAGGGAAAATTCGAAAAATTGCGCGTTTTGGAAAAAAAACGGTGGCGTACTATTTTTATTTGGGAAAATAATGGCACCAATCCCCGGTTTCTCCGAAACTGGTGCACGTTAGTTTTAAGTAAAGACTTTTGAATGTGGATATAATAGTTAAGTAAATCCACATAGCAAATTTTAGTTCATTCCAGTTAACGATTTTGAAGATATTAAAAAAAACTGTTTTACATTTTTAAATTTCAACACCCCGTATCTTTTTAATGGAGCCCTTGCGGAAGAAATGTTTTATAGAAGGCCCCTCTTAAAATGCGGTCCTGTGTATGATGTCTCATTTTTGGTGACGACTTGTGAATCACCCTGTATAAGATGTAAAAATGACATAGTGACAATACTGCTGTAGATATGACCTAGTACGAGTACAGAGGAAAAACTCTGTCAAAAATCAGGTTCTATCAACGTCAGCTTGAGTCCTACGCGTTTGGTGGGATTCGTGTTGCTATGACATTTAGGATTTAGGGGCTACGAAAAACATTGAGTTTCATCAATACTATGTATAAATAGATTTTCAATTATTAAAAATTAATATCTCGCCAAAATGCATGTGGTTAAAATTAACACAATTAAATTTCTTGATTATGTTGTTTGACATATGACATTCGTGACGTCTTGCTAATAACGCGTATCAACCCCCTAGGAAAAAATCCTCCGGACGGTAATGAACTTAAGTATTAACGTGGTAAGTAGTTGGGGACACAAAGACAACAGGGACCGATAGCAGGGGTCGCATCTGTATAATCTGTGCCTCCACTATATTCGGAATAATCTGCCAATTCAGTCCACCTCGCACAAATTCCAGCTTCGGCATCGCCAGCTTCCTGACGCTCCATTCCATCAAGCGCTGCCGTTTCAGGACTTTGCACATTACTCGATAGGCCGGCGGCCAAGATTCTGTCTCTCAAATCTAGAAAATTGGCAACATGGCTCGATTAAACGCCTCACTGCGAGTGCACATCTTGTACACAGCGAGGTGTCAAAATCTCCAGTAGTCCAGTCCGTTTCGTTCATTGACATTGGATCGTTGACATTGACGTTGGCTGCTGGATGTTTTGTGGTTGATAGTTGATCGATGGTTGATCGTCATCCCTGATTGATAATCAACCTTTTGTTGATTTATCGGTGTTTTGGGTATTCGCGTTAACAAATTGCAAAACGTATTTATGTTTTGCTTTGTGTAGCACACTAAAACAAAGCGTAAATTAAATCTTATTCGGAATAATGCGAACAAATGCTAATGTTTAACGCATTCGCAAAGAATCTGAAAGTGAAGTGAATCATTTACAAAAATGCTGGACTCCTCTCCTGAAGATGAAGATTTCCCTGGGAGACTTTTACATCAGGTTAGAAATCAAGAAAAGCATTATTATATTGTGCAATACATATTTAGCAAACATTCATATAATGTGGTTTGGTGAAAGGTGCAGTCTCGAAATCGTCTATGTTCCCAAAAAGCCTTGTTTACTGATGCCACCAACTGCACGGAACTGTAATCAATCTTGGAAATAAATTAATTTAACAATGGCTTAACAATATTTTTGATTTCACCATACATGCAATTACATTGCTTATAATGGTAGGTAGGGATCTTAGATTATGTATACCTGGAAGTATTGATCAAGATGTGATTCAAAAGCAAAAATGATCATAAACGTCAAAAAGATATAAACTGCTCTTTTGTTTGTAAATTATTTAGGGTGTATTTGCAAATCACTTGACAATGCAATATCCATGAGGAGTAAAGATAGGAGGTTAAACTGCATAAGGGATATAGGGGAATGTGCCAGTAACCCCGACACTGTCAGTAGTTAGACAAATGTTATAATAAATATTGGTAAAAACTTGAATAAACGAAATCCTATACTTGCTGGTAATTGGTACAAGATTTATCAACTAATTTGTAACATTTTACAAAAATTTCACATCCCCAGTTGTCACATTGCCAACAGTATTAGAGCGTCAAAAACAGCATGCATTAGATTCCTCAATGCTTGTCATTGGTGCAGTGAGTGACATAAACTGTAAAGGCAAGTAGAATCATCAGCTGACAATATATTAATACTGTTCTTGTTATATATGCAGAAGACATTCAAAATTTATGAAATAAATTAATCTTAATATGTTATTTTAACATTTTGAGGTCAAATTAGAGTGGCAGCTGACTGAATCATCAAACTAGTCAAAATCCAATACTCAGGCAAGTGTCTAGCTATTGGAATGGCATGTTCATTATCAATCTATCTTTTTGTCTTTAAACATAGAAACTATATATATATATATATAACTTGAGATGTGGTCATTGTCGTCTAAACCAGTTAGGTGAAAAATTAAAGCTTCCGCCTTTTGTTGGGTACTTCGACAAAATTTAAGCAAAGAGGACTCTTTATACTTTTTTTAATTCTCTCTAGCTTTCAATGGACTTTGCCATCCTCACATACTACTCTCCTGATGATGATGGCAAAGTCCATTGAAAGCTAGAGAGAATTAAAAAAAGTAAAAAGAGTCCTCTTTGCTTAAATTTTGTCGAAGTACCCAACAAAAGGCGGAAGCTTTAATTTTTCACCTATGTATATATATATACAATTAATTATTAATTGGGAAATTGGCAAAATTTTAGGCTTTAGTAAACTGTTTTAATGGTAATCTCGAGCTTTCGGCACGCTGTGGTGCCATCATCAGGAGTCGTCACTGAGGTTGCAGCCAAATGGTGTTTCAAAACAAAAGCGTGGATGAGAGCACTTGTTGCAAATGCAAAACCAAAAGGACGAACACATTGGGTTTTTTGGTAAAGACGGAAATCATAGGTGTTACCATATATCAATACACTCGAACAAATTGAAAATTATCGAAAATTTTCAAAATATAAAAGTATTACTTCATTTTGGGGGAAAAAACGGCAGAGTCCCTTCTAACCTCCTACATCTGTTTCACCTTAGGTGATTGTGTATGATTCAGTTGATGGATTCTAAGTGATGGATGATATGTGGTGGTAGGATGCTGTTCTGCCTGCACTTTATTGAGGAAATTCGTCTGTTTATCTCATGTGCCAAGCATTTTCTGTACTTGATCCAGTCCTTCAGCAAAGTAACTGAGGATGTCCCATATCGTTCTTCGATGTGTTGAAAGAATCCCAAATCTGTGGATTTTATGCGAGCAATCGTCACTGCCATTGCCAACGACCAGTTGGGCAAGAAATACAACTGATTACTAATTGGGAAATTGGCAAAATTTTAGGCTTTAGTAAACTCTTTTAACGGTAATCTCGAGCTTTCGGTACGCTATGGTGCCATCATCAGGAGTCGTCGCTGAGGTTGCAGCCAAATGGTGTTTCAAAACGTGAAACAGATGTAAGGTTAGAAGGGACACTGCCGTTTTTGCCCCAAAATGCAGAACTACTTTAATATTTCGAAAATTTTCGATAATTTTTAATTTGTACGGGTGTACTGATATATAGTCGAAATCATGAAAGATGACGATTACGTCACCATTTTAGTCTGTAGTAAACACAAACGACAGCGATTTGTGAATCTATTTAATGAAGTTTCTGATATGTTAGCTAGAGACAAACATAATTTTATTGTCTAAGGCCCGTATCGTCAGTCGTCCCTACAATTGTAGAGTGCGTTTATGGCCTCCTTGATTGTCATACTTCTTTCTCTCCTTCAAAAATTTCTAGAACACTTGTCCCGTGTCAGCGTCAGCGCTCTCCTATTGTGAAGATATGTTTCCCTTTTAAATCGTAGGAAATTTCAGGCTGATAAAACATGATATAACTCAAAAGCAATCACAATTTGATGCCAATAGATGTTTGTGACATAACCTCAAAATAGATCACTGACGTGGAAAAATAGAAAACTATGATAATCAAGGAGGCCATAAAGGTGCCCTACAATTGTAGGGACGACTGATGATACTGACCTAAACAAACTGTATTGCTAATTTGCATGTATCCGACAAAGATAGACGATGTTTTCATGTTCGTGATCGATCATATTTGCAAGATGAATTGGTTATGTTAAAGCATTTTATGTTGTTTTCGAATAATACTTTCGTCTTTGGTGTTCCTGTCTTAAGGTATTCTACCCATAACTTTTTTCAAAACAAAAACTCGCCACTAAAATTATTATTAAGGTATCACTCAAAACCATGAAATAAAATGAAAATAAAAATAATCAGTGAAATAACCTAACTTCGAAAAATCACATATAAATTTGTTGTCATTTATGTTCCTGAAATCGTGATTTTATCATCGACGTACGTCCATTGATTACTTCAGTACAATTTAGGGTATGACGTAATAGTCATCTTTAGTGATTTTGACTATATAGTCGTAACACCTATGATTTCCGTCTTCACCAAAAAACCCAATGTATCCGTCCTTTTGGTTTTAAATTTGCAACAAGTACTCTCATCCACGTTTTCGTTTTGAAACACCATTTGGCTGCAACCTCAGCGACGACTCCTGATGATGGCACCATTGCGTGCCGAAAGCTCGAGATTACCGTTAAAAGAGTTTACTAAAGCCTAAAATTTTGCCACTTTCCCAATTAATAATTAATTGTATTTCTTGCCCAACTGGTCGTTGGCAATGGTAATGACTACTGCTCGTATATATACCCCAACCATTGTCGGAAAATTTTTATAGAAGATTTTACTGTACAAAAATTTTGCAGGCTGCTCTTTGGGATAACACAGAACTGCTTGAAGATCTTTTAGAGGGAGGGCAGCAGAATTTTCTGAATTCGCAGGATAGTTGGGGCAGGACTCCTCTCCATGCAGCTGCTATAACTGAGAACTCCAAATGTCTAGAGGTGTTACTGAACGCTGGTGCAGATCCTAATATACAGTGTGGACCTAGAGGAGAAAGCAAGGTATGTCATCAAAAGTAATTTACATTAAGACAAAGAGGTTTAGCCCTCCCTTACTGAGATGTCAGAGACATCTCCAGGATCTATACCAAACTAACCTATTCAAATATGTATACTATGTGACATATAAATCCGAACACCTAGTTTAAATGGTTTTATTTTAATAAAATTTTGTATAAGTACTTATTGAAGCATAATAAGTAAATGATAAAAATTTCAAAATGATTGCACTGCTTTAAAGCCCTTTGACCTTTAATAATGTGTGGATGCACCCTGATGTGCTACGCACTCTCCAACGCGCCTAGGCATGCTTCTGATCAGGTGGTCAATATCCTCCTGTGGTATCTCATTCCAGGCAACCACCAACTCCTCTCGAAGTGCTTCTAGAGTCTGAGGAGGACGTTGCAAATTGAGCAATCTCCTACCCATCATATCCCACACGTGCTCAATTGGAGATAAGTCGGGAGATCTTGGTGGCCATGGTAACAATGTGACATCATTATGTTGAAAGAAGTCTATTGTGACTCTTGCAACATGTGGTCGGGCATTATCTTGTTGGAAAGTTGGATCTGCCAGGGTGTCAAGATAGGGTAAAAGATGGGGTTCTAGAACTTCGTGCAAATAACGCTGCGCGTTCATGTTACCTCTGATGAAGATTAAAGGAAACCTGGAACCATAAGCTATAGCACCCCAAACCATAACTCCAACAGTGTGATGAACATGTCTTTCAACAAAAAACTGTGGATTCCTCCTTTCACCACGTCGCCTTCTAACCCTGGCACGACCATCGTGCATGCCTAAACAAAATCGAGACTCGTCACTAAAGACAATACTGTTCCATTCCTGATCCTAGAGTGACCGTTGTCTGCACCACTCAAGGCGATTACGTCGGTGTTCTCGAGTTAAAGGGAGGACCCAGTGTGGCCGGTATGAAAACAATCCAAAACTTCTCATTCGTCGGTAAACACTTCACATGCCAATAGGTCTTCCGTGTTCTGCAAACCATTCATTTGCAATGGACCTGGTAGTGGAGAAACGGTCCCTTAAGGCCAATAATCTTAGGCGGCGATCTTCACGGTCTGTTGTTCTACGGCGGCGTCCAGTGCCCCTTGCTCTTTGCGTACGGCCTTCTCGAAGCCATGCCTGACAACACCTAACCACAGTGTCTACACTTCTTTGCACTCTAACTGCAATTGCCCGAAAAGAAAGTCCAGCTTCCCGAAGTCCCACTATACGGCCCCTATCAAACTCACTAAGTTGACGAAATCGTACAGGTCTCCGTACTCTAGGCATCGTAACCGATCGTAAAGGATGTCAAGCACCAAAATCCGCCAACGTTGATTCTTTACTGCGGCTGAAATATTCATTTTTAGAGCGTTAGTGAATTAAAAAAAAGCAGTATAAAAACCGGAATGTCCAACTGATAAGGCTGAAAATTTTTTCACTTGTTATTTACAGTAAGATAAATACATTCACCAACTTTTATTAAAATAAAACCATTTAAACTGGGTGTTCGGATTTATATGTCACTTAGTATATATGGCAGGTCCCAAATGTACTGACAGATGACAAAATCCGGTCGCCACTCGACGCTACATCAGGGAACTGCCATATGTTTCAATAGGTTAGTTTGACAATGGGACAATTTTCTTTTTCTGGCAGTCAATGGTTTGGATTTTTAGACATACTACACTCTCTAGAGTGTCTGCAACTAAAAAGCTCCTGCAGAAAAATAGTAGCTTTGAGTGCTTAAGAAGCAATAGACTTCATCTTCTGCGCGGCAGGGTTATTACGTAAAAGCGAATATAATGCAAAAAAACCACAAAATGTGAACTTGCTGACTGGATAGCTGCTAGTGTACAAATAGTTCATTCCGCTATTGCTAGCTGTGAGCGCTATGAACTTCACCCATAGTGTCGTCTATGGAGGAATGCCTCAATGACATGCCAGCGTGCTTTGTTGATTGCAGAATGCCGAGATAGTCTGTAATGTATCTCTGAGAAGATGGGAAAGAAAGAAAATTAGTTGATTAGCGAGATCGCATCTGGATGATTGTGTGTTGGCTGTGTGTATTGGCCTGCATCTGTATAAAATCAGAGATACTTTCTGTGTGATATGCTGCTCATAAAGTATATCTGTTAGTTGTACCAGACGGAATATTTGTGTGTCGTCGTTTCTTAAGAGATGTTATGTTCAAAGTTATATCTACAGATTACAGAAGAAAGGGGCTGGCCAGCCTTAACGTCACTGCGACCCAAATTGATCTATACTAAGTGACATATAAATCCGAACACCCAGTTTAAATGGTTTTCTTTTAATAAAATTTTGTATAAGTACTTAATGAAGCATAATAAGTAAATGATAAAAATTTCAAAATGATTGCACTGCTTTAAAGCCCTTTGACCTTTAATAATGTGTGGATGCACCCTGATGTGCTACGCATTGTCCAACGCGCCTAGGCATGCTTCTGATCAGGTGGTCAATGTCCTCCTGTGGTATCTCATTCCAGGCAACCACCAAGTCCTCTCGAAGTGCTTCTAGAGTCTGAGGAGGACGTTGCAAATTGAGCAATCTCCTACCCATCATATCCCACACGTGCTCAATTGGGGATAAGTCGGGAGATCTTGGTGGCCATGGTAACAATGTGACATCATTATGTTGAAAGAAGTCTATTGTGACTCTTGCAACATGTGGCCGGGCATTATCTTGTTGGAAAGTTGGATCTGCCAGGGTGTCAAGATAGGGTAAAAGATGGGGTTCTAGAACTTCGTGGATATAACGCTGCGCGTTCATGTTATCTCTGATGAAGATTAAAGGTGACCTGGAACCATAAGCTATAGCACCCCAAACCATAACTCCAACAGTGTGATGAACATGTCTTTCAACAAAAAACTGTGGATTCCTCCTTTCACCACGTCGCCTTCTAACCCTGGCACGACCACCGTGCATGCCTAAACAAAATCGTCACTAAAGACAATACTGTTCCATTCCTGATCCCAGAGTGACCGTTGTCTGCACCACTCAAGGCGATTACGTCGGTGTTCTCGAGTTAAAGGGAGGACCCAGTGTGGCCGGTATGAAAACAAGCCAAAACTTCTCATTCGTCGGTAAACACTTCGCATGCCAATAGGTCTTCCGTGTTCTGCAAACCATTCATTTGCAATGGACCTGGTAGTGGAGAAACGGTCCCTTAGGCGGCGATCTTCACGGTCTGTTGTTCTACGGCGGCGTCCAGTCCCCCTTGCTCTTTGCGTACGGCCTTCTCGAAGCCATGCCTGACAACACCTAACCACAGTGTCTACACTTCTTTGCACTCCCACTATACGGCCCCTATCAAACACACTAAGTTGACGAAATCGTACAGGTTTCCGTACTCTAGGCATCGTAACCGATCGTAAAGGATGTCAAGAACCAAAATCCGCCAACGTTGATTCTTTACTGCGGCTGAAATATTCATTTTTAGAGCGTTAGTGAATTAAAAAAAAGCAGTATAAAAACCGGAATGTCCAACTGATAAGGCTGAAAATTTTTTCACTTGTTATTTACAGTAAGATAAATAAATTCACCAACTTTTATTAAAATAAAACCATTTAAACCGGGTGTTCGGATTTATATGTCACTTAGTATATAATCACATAAACGGGTGTGTATAATGGCTCCCTCCATTTTATTTCAGACGCCTCTGCATCTGGCAGCTCTGCATGGCCATTGCAGAAATGTATCAACTCTTCTACAGCACAACGCCAATATTCTATTGCGAGATCTGAATGGTATGACTGCCATAGATTTGGCTGATAATGCTGGTCATTCGAAGTGTGTCCATGTCCTTAAAGAGGCAGCTGGTAAGTGGGATTCTTTGTAGTGTTTCTAGTGTTTGTTTTTGCAACTAAGCAACGCATGATTTAGCATTTACAGGCCGGTTCTTAAGCTATAAGTCATACTCCACGCAGCGCTATTTCGTCGTAGATAGGTTCAAATAAACGTGACATTTTATTAACATGTTGCATGCCACTATAGGACAGAGTACTACCTGAGGCCAAAACTTGTCATAAATCAGGTACGTTGCGTTTTGGTAGGATTTCTGTCAATGTCACTTATATACATTTAAACAATAATTTTTTAATCCAGTAGTTAACCAGATTTTTGAAACGCCTTTTCAAATAATACTTATTAAGGGAACATTTGTCCGACATATGTGTATGTTGATATGAACTTTTTCCAAGGAATCATCAATATATATATATATATATATATATGTATATGTATGTGTGTCTATATATGTAGATATATATGTATATACAGGGTGTTTCAGTTTATTGTTGCATAACTTTAAGATTCGATCGAACTTTTAAAATTAATGCATAAAGTCTATATAAACATGGATCGAAAAATGCGTGGCTTCCGAAATACAGAGTGTTTAAATTTACTTTCTAAAATAGTTCTTTTTTTAAATATTTTGAACAATATTTGATGTATAACAGTGAAAATTGGTAATACAAGGGTTTTTTTTGGTATGACAAAACGAACCATGGGCATAGTTTTACTGTAGCCGCTAGAGGGCGCCCTGTACTGTACCTGTCGTTTATTAAAATGACCGAAAAATATTTCTTAGTGCAATTTTTTGCTTTTAGAATAAAAAATCTGATTCTTCGCACTTTTCAACATAAAAAAGCTCTCTTGTGAATTTTCGTTATAGTTAGCCGTTTTTGAGATATTTCGATTTTTAAGGTTCGATGCATTTTTAATTATTTATGATAAAATAACGTTAAAAAGTCGGTATCTCGATAATTTTTAGAAGTAGGCTGTCCCTGCAAATATTTTTGAAATTGAAAGCAGAATAAGGTTAAACGTCAATTAGTTGACAGTTAGTTTTGTTGTCTGTTGAAACTTGAAACGTTTTTTTGCAATTGTGAATGCACGAAATTTAGTTTCTTTTACCTGTTTTTTTTGTAAGATTTATAAAAATGCCATTTTTATTCTCCAATCAAGAGTTAGCGGATATTCATTTTGTGTATGGCTTTGTAAATGGAAACGCAGCAGAAGCAGCCAGAGAATACGCACGAAGATTTCCAAACAGACGACATCCAACTCGCTCAGTATTTGTAAGACATAAATGTTCGTCAGCGCAGATTTACTTGTATGATTCTGCGTGAGTTTGATAGAGATCCGACCACAAGTGTTAGGGAGTTTCTGGTGCCTTAGGAATTTCAGCAAGCCATGTTGACCGTGTTCTTAGAAATGACCAAAGACGTCCTTACCATTTGCAACCTGCGCAAGGACTACAGCCAGGGGACGGAGAACGAAGAATCACATTTTGTCAGTGGATTCTTGATAGAACTGATAATAATAGGGAGTTTTTAAGTAAAGTTTTATGGACCGATGAGTCATGCTTCACTAGACGTGGAGTGGTAAATTTTCATAATCAACATATTTGGTCGCATGAAAATCCGCATGCAGTTCGGGAAAGAAATCGACTATTTGGACCTACCTTTTGCCTGCAAGGTTAAATGCTGCGACCTTCTTGGAATTTTTAAAGGCTAAACATGCAAATATGTGGGATGATGTTATGTTAGATTTAAGAAGATTGGCCTGGTTCCAGCTTGATGGTTGTCCAGCTCATTATTCGAGAATAGTTAGAAACTGGCTGGACGAAAATTATCCAGAAAGATGGATCGGCCGTGGTGATTTCTAAAAGACAAAGTGTACCAGACTCCCGTAACCACAAGAGATATGCTAATAGACAGAATCAGGAATGCATGTGATGAAATAAGGCCTTATTTGAATAATGCTATACCACGTTCGATCATTCGTAGATGTGAATTGTGTATTGAACAATTGTGTATACATTTCGAGCAACTACCGGTGAAATGGGGTGAATAGAAACAGTTTCGGACCTTTCCTACTCTGTTGCTAACATGGTAGTCACCTTTTTGACAACAAAAAATAAGGAATCTACAGGTCTCGACTTGTAGATCAAAAAGCGCATAATAGATTTTTTTTAAATAGGGGGTTTTCCAAATAAAAAATAAAAACGCTCTTTTTCTATTCACCCTTAATGTGGGGTGAATAGAAACACCCATTTAAATTGGTCAAATTTGATATTCTACCCACATGAAGGCGAATAGAAAAACCTGAAAAAATTTTTAAATTGATAAAAAAATATAAATACACAAAAAAAACTGACAAAAACACCAATTTTACAAAAAAAAACATTTATTTCTATAGAAATGTAACAAGTTTAAACATATTATTTAAATTAAACAACTTTGATGCAAATTAAATTTTAAAATGTCTCTTCTTGACGTAGATGCTTCTATCTCGTCATGAACTGGGAAAACCTCTCCAACAACCTCGCTAAAATGAAAGGTGGAAACATCCGGAACTTCTGGAAATCCATAAATATATCCTGACGAGTGTTTGGTGGGGCGACTTCTTAAGAAAGTGGCTTCAATGTCATTTTCTGTAATATTAATGACTTGTCCGATAAAATATTTATTTCTTTGTCTATTTCGATATTTTGTTGGAAAACACACCAGAAGCCAAGTTCCTTTATCTATTAAATCAAGCGAAATAGGAGAAACACATCGAAACAATTTACCCTCAAAGCAGACTGATGCTGATGAATTATTTGTATCCAACTTATTCTCGGACTTATCGGGTGAAACTTGGTAGTGAAGCGTCCATTTCTGAGTCTGCATCTGAAGAATGATCTTGATCTTTTTCCATGTCAGAGTCTTCACTTGAAGAATGATCTTGAGCTTTTGCCATTATTGGCATGAAATTAATAAGGGGCAAATTCATTTCCGGGTCTGAATCTTCATCTAAGGTTTCCATACTTCTTTCCAAATCAGTATCCTCTTGATCGTCTTTATCCAACGTGCTTTCAAAATCTGCACTTGTAACGCTTTTGCCAGCAGGAACTTGAATTTTACGACGTCGACTCTTCACATTTTGACCATCGCCATATCTCATTGTTCTTAGAAGGTTTACCAAAGAGTTATTAAGTCCTTCTTCAATGTTCTGATTCTCATCATTTGTCTCGTCAAGATTTTGCTGCGGAAGGCGTCCCAAGACTTGATCCCTATTTAGTGGAAAAATTCCACACTTTCTAAAGCCAGATTGTATATTTTTTCCAGCATTAGGCTCAATAGCCTTTGACAAGTCATTTAGCAAGAAAGGGAATCTGTCCTTTGGAACCGTGCAATGCTTTGAACCAGCCCCCATTTTCCATTTTCAAGGATCTGTCGCCAGGCTGTTTTAAGAGGCCGGAAAAATGCCACGTCCAGAGGCTGGGTCAGATGAGTAGAGTTAGCCGGGAGGAATATAAATGAAATATTATTTTCTTCGCAAAGAGATACCGTACTTGCAGAAAAATGTGAACTCAGATTATCGCCAATTAAGTACTTCTTTCCCGGTAGATTTTTTACTGCAGGTATGACAGTGCTCTCTACCCAATCTGAGAAGGAAATCGCATCAAACCAACCTGATGGACTTCTATTAAATCTGACGTCCTTTGGTCCTCCAACTGTCCAAGATGTATACAAATTTTTATCTTTGTAAACCACGTATGGTGGGAAAAATTTTCCATCAGCTGAAGCAGCGTACATAATAGAAACGGCTGACTTCGACGTATTGCAAATACGTTCTGGATAGCGACAGCCCCTTTTCGAGATTACTTTCTTTCTACCCGGATCGTCAGTTAAATTTGTTTCGTCGTAATTTACTATGTTTGATGGCGGTACATTTTTCAACTCCGTGGCTAAATTGTCAAAATAAGCATTGATAGTATTGGGAGAAACAGCAGCTCTTGAGCGCTTGATGTTTTGGCAGATTCTAGATCTTAATTCATTTTTGTGACGTTTTAAAAAAGAATAGACAAAGTCTCTGCCAGGGATATTATCTTTAAATCTCGTTATTGTTTTACCTCTACTGTCTAGGTAATTTTTTATCATCATCCTGACGTCCAAATGGTCAAGTGGATACCCCCAATCGGAACAAACTATTAGTTGATGGACTAAAATATCTTCTTCTTGTTTGGTTAGGGCTGTTTGTCCTCCATGAAGCTTCAGATTTCGGTTTTTGTGGTGCCGATAAAGCACAGAATAATGAATGTTGTATGTTTCGTGAGCCACTCTATAACTCATCCCGTTGTCAATTGAAGCAAGGGCTATTTTTAGAGTTTTTTCATCAATTTTCTTATATGTTTTACCTCGAGGGTGTGGTTTATAAACGCGAGGCATTTTCCTGCAAAAGAAAAAACAGTTATGGGGTGGATAGAAACAGCGGGTGAATAGAAACAGCGTGTTTCTATTCACCCCAAAATTACTTAAAAGTGTGGTTATGTATTATATTACATCATAGCAAAAAAAATAAGCAAGACAAGCAATTTCTGAAATAGGCAATGTGAACCAGACATCTTAAAGCTACTTTAACCAAAAAACTCAATGTCTTACCTGTTTTTAGCTAACCACTGTGAATAAAGTTTTGCTAGTGATGAAAAAGGCTCATGTGTTCACTCCGACGGGTGGTTGCTACTGCAATCAGGGCTGCCAGCATAAAACATCTTTGGCCTGTTAAAGCAGTTATGGCGACATCTGTTGACCGTTTGAGAACAAATTTGAAGCGTTGGGAGGTTTAATTCCAATGTTGATTTTTTTTAAAAGAAGTTTCCCGTTTTTGTTGCTATTCACCCAGCAGTTTCTATTCACCCCATTTCACGGTACTTTAGATTTTGTATGTTTGTCCTAACTATCCAATAGCATCCAATATTCATTTAATTTGTTAAAAATAATATTGGAAAATTAAACAAATTAATATTCTGTTTTTTGTGTTTATTTGGAGTTAGGAATTATTGCTGTGTTTAAAAACACAATCTAAACGATCAGCTTAATTACTTGTAATGCCCAAATCCAAAATGTAAAAAAAATATTATTTTCCCAAAAATTAATTAAAAATGCATCGAACCTTAAAAATCGAAATATCTCAAAAACGGCTAACTATAACGAAAACTCACAGAAGAGCTTTTTTATGCAGGAAAGTGCGAAGAATCAGTTTTTTTATTCTAAAAGCAAAAAATTGCACTAATAAAAAATTGTCGGTCATTTTAATACACTACAGGTACAGTAGAGAGCGCCCTCTAGCGGCTACAGTAAAACTATGCCCATGGTTCGTTTTGTCGTACCAAAAAACCCTAGTATACCAATTTTCACTGTTATACATCAAATATTGCCACGCATTTTTCGAACCATGTTTATATAGACTTTATGCATTAATTTTAAAAGTTCTATCGAATCTTAAAGTTATGGAACAATAAACTGAAACACCCTGTACATATATGTGTATATATGTGTATATATGTGTATATATGTGTATATATGTGTATATATGTGTATATATGTGTATATATGTGTATATATGTGTATATATGTATTATGTATGTGTATATTTGTGTATATATTTACTCGTATATGCGTACCTTTTATTTTTTTTTTCTATTTTTATTGTACTTACTTCTTTTACACCTTGTTCCGTTTATTATTGTATCTGCTTGTTTAGTGTATGTTTTCAATCGTGCGCACATGCGCCCTTTGCCCTTTCTCGACTAAACTGTGTTTCTTTCCATTTTTAACCGACAAATTTATGTATTTATACTTAACTATATTTTTAATTTTTGTATATAATAATGTAATCATAGAGATATGCCTGACGAGTCTTATATCATTTCTATGATCCGAAGACAATAAAGCATCTATCTATCTATCTATCTATCTAATGACGAGTGCCATAAGGATGCTATCATAGAATTGTCTCAAAACAGAAAAGCCATCTTTATCCATGAGTGTTAGTCTCTTTTCTGTCGTTTTTTGGATTTTATAGAATATTTCCAAATGCGTTATTATTCTTCATTGCTTAGAGTATAAAGATTGCAGGCCGTTATCTATTCGTTGTGAAGTTATGAGTAAACATAGAGGTTATTTATATTTTTCATGTTTAGCTATATAAAGGCCATCTGTCACGATACAAAATTTTGTTCTAATTTGGAACCAAATTTTGTGAGAAAATGTCTTGTTGAATTTAGTTCCCAACTTGTTTACAAATTACAATCCTGTAATCAATTTCGTACGAAATCATGCGCAGTCGGTAGATAAAAACCTATTAACTGTCATCTGCCATTTATCACGTCAAAGACCTTTCGTTGCGGCTTGCTACTTTATTACTTTAAACGAATAGAAATTGCAGAAAATGAAACTCATGAAATAACGAAGCAAACGAAACCGTAAAAGAATTTCGTGTCGAAAATGGATCAGGGAGAATGGGTGTGATCCAGTTGCTGAATAAAGAACCTCTAGTGGAGGACCCGCTGGCCTAATTGGTTCTGAAGCCATTCTGGTTTTATAAAACGGAGCTTATATGGCGTTTCTGTTTTTACAGGACTTGCTTTTTACAGCATACGAAGGTGGTCCCAGAAGTACCCGACCCAACGAAGAAAACACAATTTTTGTAAACAAAATTTATTTATTTTTCAACATAATCTCCTTTGAGCTCTATACATTTTTCCCAGCAATGTTCAATAAGTTCGATATCCTTTTTATAATAAGAACTGTCTTGCTCCTCAAAATAGCCATTAACTGTCGACATCACTTCTTCATCGTTGGAAAATCTTTGGCCATTTTTTCAGGTTTGGAAACAGAAAATAATCCGAGGGGGCTAAATCTGGTGAATAGGGTGCATGAGGTAGCAATTCAAACTTTAATTCGTTAATTTTGGCCATTGCGATAACGGATTTGTGAGCTGGTGCATTGTCTTGATGAAACAACACTTTCTTCTTAACCAAATGCGGCCGTTTTTGCTTGATTTCATCGCTCAAACGTTGCAATAAGTTCGCATAATACTCGTCGTTGATAGTTTTACCTTTTTCAACATAGTCAATGAAAATTATTCGACGCGCATCCGAAAAAACCGACGCCATAACCTTGCCTGCAAAAGAAACGGTCTTCGCCTTCTTTGGAGCCTTTCAGTCCATTGTTTTGATTCTTCTTTTGTCTTGGGTGTGAAGTGATAGGCCCATGTTTCATCCATGGTTATGAAACGACGCAAAAATTCTGCTTTGTTGCTGTAAAACTTCGCTAAACACTCAATTGAAATGTCTTCACGACACTGTTTTTGCTCGATTGTGAGCAATCGCGGCGCCGATCTTGCACACAGCTTTCTCATGTCCAAATTTTCAGATAATATGCGATGAACCGCACTTTTTAAAATGCCTACTATGTCTGCTAGCTCGCCCACTTTCAGTCGACGATCATTCAGTACCGCTTTGTGAATTTTCTTCACCATTTCTGGAGTCGTCACCTCATTTCGTCGACCACTGCGACGCTCGTCTTGGCCTCGTTTAAACTCTGCTACGCAATATTTTACTGATGTAAACGAAGGAGCAGACTCACCCAGAGTAGAATCCAGTTCAGCTTTTATATTGGTTGGGCGGAGGCCTTTGAAATAAAAGTATTGTACCACATAACGATGACCAATTTTCTCCATTTCCACAAATTCACTGAAGACGTTCAGTAATGATGGCTGCCAAACAAATACTAAACAACGTGGCGTCTTCAAACTTGACTTGCTTTATAGGTTGCATACTTTCCGATACAATGATATTTTTCAAACAACTATCGCCATCTCTAGGTCAGGCCAGGTACTTCTGGGACCACCCTCGTATAAACAATCATATTTCTTATACTCGTTTAGTAGTATGTCACACTGCTCTGTTGACCATGACATATTTTAAGTTTTTCAATATACAAGTAGAACAGCATACAGCATAAGGAGGGGGTTTCGCGAAACTGCTGAACACAACTGATGAAAGTGCTTGAGGTTAGGCTGCTGACACTTGCTTTTGTAATATAACACCATTGTGTTACTTTCTCACGCATCATGACGACAGAGGCATACTACCTATAAGTTATAGCTATACGAACTGAGCATTTCGATTTCTTTGGTATCCTTTGGTATTCCAAACGCTGCTCCTCTTTGACATCACTTAACATACGATTACAACACAATTCTTAGATTTATACGTATATACGAATATTGTGACTTGTGACAAAGTATGAGAATTATATTAGCTATACAGATTGCACTTAAAAAGTGATTTACGTTCTGTTTGTTGCTCAATAGTAATTTGAAAAGTGTGTAAAGCTTGACTGATTTTGTTCGGGGTTGGTGTTGCA